CCCCCTGATTTCACTGAAAATACGCTCGCATTTGCATCAATTTCAAGCGAGTATCGACACAGCCTTACAGTGGGACATTTTCGTCTGCGGCGTTTCTTGTTCGCCAGGACAAACAAACCAACAAACCCCCGCGTGACGAAAAAATGGACTCGGTGCGGGGTTGAACGCGTCCTTGATCAACAGGTGGCAAGCGCCGCTCCGCGCGTCAGCACTACCCCCCCTCCCTCGCACTACCCTCATTTTCTTTTTTTCTGCGATTTCTTTTTATTACAATATGAAACGCACCTTCGAAACACACCCTTTATTCCTCCTCTCCCCCTTTCTCACCCTCCCTGGGTACCTTTCTCGACTGACGCTCTCACTAAAAAAAAATATGATGCGTGTGAGTCGCCTGGGGTGGCGAGGCGGCACGATAGGGGGAAGCAACAGGCGGTCCTCCGTGACAACGACAGTTTAGCTGCTCGTAAAATACCCGTCGATAACCGATTACCTTTTCAATGGTCGCGGCTGGCAAAGAGAGCGCGCGGCGGCGGAGGGGTTCTTCCGATTAAGTTTTATGGCGCGCGGAAGTGCGCATGAGCGGGCAGCGCGGCGGGCACTTCCGGTAGGTCGCGCAGGAGGCGGGGAAGGCGCGCCATTTAAATCGAACGCGTCGATGCGCTTGTCTGCGTGCGTATTGCACACGGCGCACGGCCCGCGAAACCTACCAACGCATCCTCTCGATTCCCCGCGCAGAGCAAAGCGCTCACCTCATCTTATTTGTAGCTGTGTTTATTTTGCTCTGTTTGACGACGAAAAGGTGCGCAGGCGCGTCGGAAGTGGGGATCAGGGGTTGCGCATGGCACCCCCGAGAAAATTGTAGAGGGTGCAACTGCACCGCCGCCTAACTTTAACTCCTGTAGGCTATGTTTGTATCAACTGCCAGTCCTCTTGTTTCAACGAAACCAATTTGCGCCACAAAACCCTGAATGTAGGCAGCCGACTTTGTACCCCCCCCCCCCTCACCCATAAGTCGGACCTTAACCAGCGCCTAAACGAAACCGAGTGGTTGAGATAAAAATGAAAACCCCCCACTTTTGCATGAATGATGTACTTATGACGTTATAGCGCGATAAAGTATGAAGTGTATTGAGTCATCACATAGTTCGGAGGCTCTCAACCCGTCCCAACCTTAACTCTATGGTTGACTGAACTTTTCGTTTTTCTGGGAGTGTTCATAGCGAACTAGAGCCAACGGTGCGACCATAATAATTGTTCGAAATGAGGTGGTTAATAAGTTTAGTCGGTTTGAGAAAATACATTTTGTTTATTCCAAAACTGATTGGGTTGTATCATGTTTCCTTGGGTCTTTGCACTCGCACTGGCACTGGTGCTTGCGCAGGCTGCACTCCCCGAGGCACTTCTCCAGCTCCCTCTGCCCCCGACACCTCTGGTCGCACTGGGTCTCCTGGTCGCCGCAGTCCCCGAGGCACCTCTGCACCGCCTCACTGGCGTACGCCTCCAGGTCGCCGCCGGGGAGGCCCATGCAGCTGCAGGAACAGTTCGCCTCGCGGATTGCCTGGAACTCTGGAGCGCTGGAGCGGACGAGGTCGCAACTCTGGAACAGGAGTAGAGATCAGACAAGTGCCCCCTCCCC